GAGCACTGGGTGTTATGCACAAACAATGAATCATGGAACACTTCATCTAAAACTAATGATGTAATGTATGGGGATTAACATAAGAATAAAAAAAAAAAGTTTTAGGAACTTTCTAAAACCTTAAAAAAAAGGGGGATAAAAGGGGAAAAAAGTAAATGCCATTGTATGTAAATTCCTATTGCAGGAAAAGAAAAGCATTAAGAATATAATTATCCATAATCCCACGACCCCAAGGGAGCCACAATTAACACTATCCAGGCATCTGTGTACACAGTTTTCAAAAACATAGTTGAGATCCTACTGTATATATTATTTTGTCTATTTTTCTTTTGTTTGCTTAACAATAAGCATTTATTATCATTAAAGACACTTTAAATCATGATATTTAAAGAATGTATAATATTTCACCAGGGAAGTCTATTTTAAGCACTTCCCTATTAAACAGTCAGGTTTGTTTTTAATATTTTGGACACAGTTATTATCACTGTGTGGAATATCTTTGCACATATATTTTTGCTACCAATTCCGGTTAACTTAAGACAGATTCTTATAAATGTAAATATAAGGTGAAAAGCCTTAATAGTATAATGGTTCTTGATGTGTTGCCAATATTTGCAATCTTTTAAGAATAGCAGAAATAAGTCACTTTGATGATTTCACTTGGATCCCAACTCAAGAGACTTTATTAATGGCTAGAAAATTCTAAAGTTACATAATGGCCACTGTGGGCAACTGACAGATGAGGTCACCTGGCCAAACCTCCACTGGCTGCCCCAGTGAGACTTCAGGAGTCAACTGGGCCTCTCAGAACCATCCAGCAGTGCTGGGGCTGGAAGTATGCAGCCCCAGTAGCAAGCAAGTTAAAAGTAAATCCACACTGAGTAAACTCTACACAAAACAGGGTTCACTCTTACCAGAGCTGCAGTTGAAGAAAGTGGGGGGGTTTGAAGAATCTCATCCACAGGGCTCCACGAAATATCCAAAGTGATCGTAGTTTGTGATGCAGCAAGTGTATCATCCAAGGCTGTGGACTTAAAGAGCTCATACTGGGCGGAGCCCCTGGCTGTTACCTGAAAAGAGCATATCCGCCCACCATTAGCTACGCTTTCACGTGGCCAGAGGCCCGTTATCAAAACTACCTTGGTTTTGGGCGCCTGGGTGGCTCAGTTGGTTAAGCGACTGCCTTCGGCTCAGGTCATGGTCCTGGAGTCCCGGGATCGAGTCCCGCATCGGGCTCCCTGCTCGGCAGGGAGTCTGCTTCTCCCTCTGACCCTATCCCCTCCCATGCTCTCTCTCTATCTCATTCTCTCTCTCAAATAAATAAATAAAATCTTAAAAAAAAAAAAAAACTACCTTGGTTTTTTTCCCAGCAGAAGAAATAGTGCCATACTTTTATCCCAAATGGAAAAATAACACAATTCTTTTTCATTACAAAGACTGGCTAAAAGGCAAGGCAGAATCTATTTTCAGTCATTAGCTGAAATGAAAATCAACACAAAGATTTTGATACTACCAAAAAAAAAAAACAACAACATGTAGTCATATTAGGAGTGAAAAAAAACCCACTGAACTAGGGAGGCAGGTCCATAACAGTCTAAAGAAACTAATGTGAGCAGAAGAGAGAAATACCTACCGTAGATAAGTGATGTCTTTTCTTATGTGAACTTTTCAGGTCTTCAAGATTTACAGAGTAATTTTTATCAGCTGTAAGACATAAAAGAAAAAATAATTTTAAAGGTACAATTCAAAATTAGACTGTTAGAGTTGGAAAATGACAACCCCTCAAACTCTGAGGGTACCACAACTTCACACTAGTAACAGATGACATTAAATTTTAAATCCAGATGACATCTTGACAAAGGAAGGAAAGTGGAACAGAGGTCAATACTGAAACCATGCCCCGTTGAGTTAATGAGGTTGAAACACAGCAGAAAATTTAAAGCTGGTTTTCAGAGACCTGTTTCTCTCTAATCAGCTACTGTGTCTTTTCAGAGACCCCACTGGCTGTCTCTGCGGAAGCCTGGACTCAAGGTCCATTGATATGGCTCCAGCCTATGAACAAGCAAGGCTCTGCATCCCTTACCCGAGATAATGAGCCCAAGACCCCGTCATCCGGTTTGCACGGGCTCATGGAGCATGCCCATAGTTCCTTCTCCTTGTCCTAAGATAACCTCCTGGTGTCAGAGACTGAGTCATGCCTTGTTCTGGTGTTAATCTCCACCCCAAAGTGAACATGGGATAGATGTTACCTATGTTTGCCCGATATGCATGCTCCATCCTTCCTCATGAATAGTCACAAACTTCCCCCTCCCTTTTCATCAATATGTATGCAATCTCAACCCCTCAGATCATAAAACTTGCTCAGTCAGGAAGACAGATTTGGGAATACTCCCCTGCCTGCCCTCTTGACGGGCTGCCTTTCTGATTATACAACTTTCTCTGCTTCAAACTCAGTGACTCAGAGATTTGGTTTACTGCACATTGGATACAAATTTGATTTCAGAGTTTAGTAAGAATCCTACTACCAAAAATATAATTAAACATCTACTATGAGATTGGAATTATATTGTCATTATATTCCATTTTTTTATCCTCCAATGAAAATTTCCAAAAATACACACATATAAACCAAATGAAACCCAAATAAAACTAACAAACAAAGCCATAAACTCCTGTTCAGATTTCTGGAGATCTGTTTCTGGAATACCTCCTACATGCCGCAAGTTACACACCAGAGTAGGTTCCTGGTGGCTAACAAGTTCCACTGTGTGCACTTCCCTCTTCAAAATATGTTTTCAGTAAAAACCACAACACAGTAACAGCACAAATAAATAAATGCACACCCCCCTCCATAAATGTAAGATGAGTGAGCTCTCACCTTTACAACTGACTGTATATAAGACAATTCCTGTAATGCTGTTATTTGTGGTGACAAGCTCAGCTCCCAGCCAACAGGTCCCTTCAGGATCTGAACTGTCACACCTTACCCACAGGGGAGGAAGGGCAGTAACTGGATGATTAATCTTCAAGTGGGTCATATTAGGATTGTGAGCCATGGTGTAAAGTCCAATTAACTGCCTTGAAAACAAGAATAGGAAGAATAAACTGTAAGTAGAAACTGTCCATCAATCAAGTTTTCTTTTCCAAAGATATCATGAAGGGCATCTACGATTCTGACACTGACTGATCTTACTTCTGGTCACCAACTAAGATTCTGCACCCACCTCTAATGTGTGGGGTTTTTCCTCATACCAAGTAATTTTCTGACACCAGCTGGGTGTCCTACAATTCAACCCAATTCTGATTCTATTTACCCAGAGACAGCATCAGATGCCACAGGTTAAGGGCTCAGTCCTACAAGACGCACCCCAGCCCATCGCCACCCACCTTTAGATGCCAAAGGCAAGTCCAGGTTGTCACCCGTGCTTCTGACTGACCAGATATAGATCAGAGGTTCCAACAACCTCCTCCTTGGGTTCAACTGATTTGCTAGAGCGACTCACAGAACTCAGAAAAGCACTTTACTTACTAGATCACTGGTTTATCATAAAAGGTTATAACTCAGGAACAGCCAGATGGAAGAGATGCACAGAGCAAGGTATGGGGAAAGAGTGTAGAGAGCCCATGCCCTCTCCTAGTGAGCCACTCTCCCCAAATCTCCACCTGTTCACCAACCCAGAGGTTCTCCAAACACTCTCCTTTTGGGTTTTTATGAAGCCTTAGTCACATAGGCATGAAATGATTAATCACCGGCCATTGGGGACTGAACTCAACCTCCAGTCCTCCTCCCCTCTCTAGAGGTAGGGGTGGGGCTGAGTGTTCTAACCCTCTAATCACAGGGTTGGTACCCTGACAACCCTCTGCCCCAAGCCACAAGTTACCTAGGGGCTTTCCAAAAGCCACCTAATTTTTTTTTTTAAAGATTTATTTGAGAGAGAGAGTGCATGTTCATGTGAGCAGGGGGAGGGGCAGACAGAGAGGGAGAGAAAGAATCAATCTTCAAGCAGACTCCCACTGAGCACAAAGCCTGATGCAGGGCTGGATCCCAGGACCCTGAGATCATGACCTGAGGGGAAAATAAGAGCTGGCCACTCAACTGACTGAGCCACCCAGGTGCCCCCAAAAGCCACCTCACTAACATAATAAAAAACACCTTCCTCTTTCTCCTCACTTAGGAAATTCTAAGGGCTTTAGGAACTCTGTGCCAGGAACAGTGGACAAAGACCAAATACGTTTCTAATTATAAACTCCAATACCCAGTATCCCAGAAACAAAAGTCTGGAAATTAAGTGGCAAAATACATAAATATTTCACCCAGTGAAGAATTGGGAGAAGGGCACACCAGGCAGATGAAGACACACGCACCTGCAAGTGAGGAGAATGGTGCTATCTACAAGTGGGGAGTCCAATAGGGTGAGGGTAGAGGTTCAGTAGGAGGGAAAGTAGGCTGCGAGATGAAGCAAAAGAAATAGGTAGGATATGTTAATTATATTCAATAAAGCTGGGGCAAAAAAAAAAAAAAGCCAATAAGCACATGAAAGATGCTTGAGGTCATTAGTCATTGGAATACTTAAGAAAACTGCATACTCAGGGCGCCTGGGTGGCTCAGTCCTTAAGCGTCTGCCTTCAGCTCAGGTCATGATCCCGGGGTACTGGGATCGAGCCCCGTATCGGGCTCCCTGCTCCGCGGGAAGTCTGCTTCTCCCTTTCCCACTCCCCCTGCTTGCGTTCCCTCTCTTGCTGTGTCTCTCTCTGTCAAATAAATAAATAAAATCTTAAAAAAAAAAAAAAGAAAACTGCATACTCTGTGAATGAGTATGAATAATAGTACTGTAACTGTTAAACTTCCAGATTTTGGTCATTGTTCTGTGTTTACATAAGAGAATATACTTGTTCTCAGAAAATACACAGTGAAGTATTTAGAGGTAAAGGAGCACAGTTTCTCCAACATTCTCTCAATATTTTGTTTAAAAAAATGTGTGTGGGTGATAGGAGTATGTTATATAGGTGGCAGAGTGGGGGAGGACGAGAAGGAGGAGGAATGAGAGAGAGTCACAGAGCAGATGCAGTAACATGTAAATAACTGGTGAATCTGGGTCAAGGGTACACAGAAGTTCTTGTGCTATTCCTTCAACTTTTCTGTAAATTTGAAAGTGTATCAAAATTAAAAGTTGCCCAAAAATGTATCTTGAAATTTTTCAGAGATGAAAACTTAATTTATTACCAACAGATGTTCAACAAAGGAAGTTCTAAGGGATTGTACTTCAGAAAGGAAATACAATAATCCCAAAAGGAAGGTTCCAAATGCAAAGCAAGGCAATGATAAGCATATGGATAAATCCAAACAAACACTGGATGGAGAAAACAACACCAATAAATAATGTTTAGGTTGTCGGGGAGAAAAGAAAAAAGGCCAAACATGACTTAAAATCAAGAAGCCATAAAGACTGATAAATTTAACTACAGAAAAATGTTACAAGCTTCTACCTAGCAAAACAAACAAAAACCACCATGAAGGAGAGTCACTTTGTGAATATTATTATTAGAGTCCTTACGGTCCAATATTATTATTTCTATGACTATATCCTCCAGAACTCCTTGACGGCAATAACTTTGGTTGTGGAGGCGAGGGGGGCCAGCTGGGGAGAGCTGCCCGCAGCTACACAGTGGGGAGGCAGGAAGTGAAGCTGGCCAGGCAGACGGGGGCGGCAGGCTTTCTACCAGGGGCACTGCTGGCGTCGGGATGGGATAATTCCTCCTCGTGCAGGAGAGCCCAGTGCACTGCAGGACATTCACTAGCCACAGCCCTGGCCAATCACTCCCCTCAGTCACTGTAACAACCAAAAAGTATCCCTGCGTATTTCCAAATGCCCACTGGGAATGGCTCCCCTGGTGGAGGAGCTCTGGACTGGACAGTGAAGGTTCTTATGTGTCATTCAAAAGAAATTTGGATTGTATCATGAGGCAACAAGAACCAGCGAAGGATTTTTAAGCAAGGAAGCAACACAATCAGGCTTTCAGTGATTTATGAAGATCTCTGGCGGCAGCAAGGAAGAAAGACTGGAGGGGAACCAAATACAATGAAAACAATTGAGAAGCAAGAACAAACAGTACGGGGGAGTAGAGAAAGGGACCACGACATGGTCTTCTTGGTCATGCTTGGGACACCTATAGGATATTCAAGTAAAGCTATCCCTGGAGAGACGATGGACTCTGAAAAACAAACTGAGGGTTCTAGAGGGGAGGGGGGTGGGAGGATGGGTTAGCCTGGTGGTGGGTATTGAGGAGGGCATATTCTGCATGGAGCACTGGGTGTTATGCACAAACAATGAATCATGGAACACTTCATCTAAAACTAATGATGTAATGTATGGGGATTAACATAAGAATTAAAAAAAAAAAAAAGACACGAAAGCTATCCCTGGAGATTTGAGTATCGTGTCTAGGGAGAGGGGGAAGAAGGGAGGGAAGGACCTGGACTAGATACATATTTTTTTCCCCAATGTTGGTAAGAACGCTTTCATTTAAATCCTAGCCTTCAGCCCTCATCCTAGCTCGATGCTAAGAAAAACTTACCTTGCTCTCCCAACTGGTAAAGCAAGTGGTCCGACATTCTCTCCAGTAGAGAAATCAGAAATAACCGTTTCTTCACATTGTGGTTCTTCAACATGACTTGTTTCTTCCTTGTCCAAAGGCTTAAAAAATATTTTTTAATTATTTAGTCAGGTAAAAGAACACTCACCAATCAATTCTTCACTATGCTAGAACATAATGTACTGGTTTCCAAACTCTTAAGCACAAATGACTGGGTGATGGCAAGAATCACAGCTACAAACCAGTCTGGTACCAACAAATCTTGCCATCAGAAGCATTTCCGCTGTCCTATAAAAAGATAATGATCTAAGCTGCTACTGATAGAGGAAGCATCTGATATCATTAGAAAAGGAAGTGCTCCAACATGTATAAAATGATGAACCAAAGACAAAACACCAAGAGAAACCCATGGGAGACTCCTGATTTTTCACTCCCAAAACTCAAAGGGCCACAGCCGTTACTCCTTAAATCTACTCTTAGGACTAGCAGCTCTCATTCGTGTTACAGGGTTCTGAAATCTATGTGTTTCTAACATCTCCATGTTTAAGTAATTACATAGTTCAGCCTTGCCAATAATAACAATAACCCCAAGAGTTAACATTTCCTGAGCATTACTATGTACAGCTATTGTTCTAAGTTTTCTGTTACTTTTCATAAAAACCCTGAAATAGATACTATTATAATTTTTTAAAAAGATTTTATTTACTTATTTTCGGGAGGGGGGCAGAGGGAGAGGGCTCAATCTCACGACCCCAAGATCATGACCCAAGCCAAAACCAAGAGTGGAACGCTTAACCAACTGAGCCACCCAGGTGCCCCATTAACTCTGTTTTATAGATGGGAAAACTGAGGTAGCAAATGGCTAAATAACTTGCCTAGAACCACAGCCAGTGAATGGCAACTGCAACATTTGAATCTAGACAGTCTGACTTCAAAACTCAGGATCTTATCCATTAATTAAGCCTTCAGGCAGTAAATACTCCGTCCGCTTAATAGGTATCAGACCCAGATATTTCCCCAACTTTGAATTTCTTTTGCCAGATCACAGATCTCAGTCCCTTCTAGGCCTGGCTTTCCAAAGAGTTCCCAGAATTGGTGGTACCCAAAATGTCATTTTTTTCTTCTGTTTAATACCCATCTACCTAAAATTCATGCTGTAAGTTCTACTGATCTTTGCAGAGACAATGGCCATTTTGACTGCTCCTCATCCAAAAATGCCAGAGCCCCAGTGAATTCCAGGGATCTTCCCACAAGGGCGAGCTGCATCCTCACTGGGATCCCGACCACATTCCCAGATCCCCCTTGGCTCATTCTTATCTTTTCCTAGGTGGCTCATCTTCATCTGAACATCTTAATTTTTTTGGCTTTTGCTCTACATACACTTTCCCTTTTCCCCATAACAAAAGTCTAAATTCAACCACATAACTCACCTATAATTATTTCCCAAGCATCTGTCCACTATAGATAAGCAGTAATAACACTCTTTTTTTTTTATTCTTATGTTAATCCCCATACATTACATCATTAGTTTAAATGAAGTGTTCCATGATTCATTGTTTGTGCATAACACCCAGTGCTCCATGCAGAATGTGCCCTCCTCAATACCCACCACCAGGCCAACCCATCCT